TATTTGCAAATGTTTATAGATCTACTTGATTTTATCTATTTTTGTAATTTAAAATTTTATAACATGATATGAAAACAGATTTTGAGTTAACCTCAATAATTTTTTTTCACCAAAATTACATGTTATGATAAGATTTAGAGGTGCACCTTAATTAGATTGTTTAAGGTTGCAACCTTTTAGGAACCACACCCATCATTTAATGGATGGTGGTGAGGGGGACAAAAAAAAACAAACATTTGGTTATGGAGTTCTTACTCGTGTATGGTGGTGGCATAGGCGACTTTGGGTTCTCAATTGTTATCTTTAAATTTGCATACATATGGATCCCATTGGGGAATGATTATCGTCATAGCCTTTTTCCAACTAATTGAGGTCGGCTATATGAATTCTGGTTCGTCATTCTGCTTTACTAATATTCATACCCGATGTTATGAGTCCCCATATCTCTTCTCACTACGTCCAACTATTTCTTTTTGAGCCTACCTTTTTCCCTTTTTTAACCTTCTACTTGAGCTAACTCATAATATGTGTTGTACACCCCCTACTAGGTGTTGTAGTGGGTCTACGCCGTATATGGCTAACCCCACCTAAGTCTAATTTCTCTCATCTTAACGTTTATTGGTGTCACACCAAAATTATTTCAAATGTGTTCATTTCAAATTCTATCCCTTCCAATCTTGCCACTCATCTTTCTCAACATCATCATCACAACTACACTCATTTTATGGGGATGATGTTTCTTGATCACCCAACATTGTACTCCATAAAGCAGAATTGGTGTCACAATTGCCCTATAATATAGATTCCAGATTAATGGTAAATTTTGGCAAAATTTTACATTGGTTGCCTACCTACTACAACCTACCTCTTTTACCAGGGCTTCAAATAGGTTAAAATAAAGTTTAAGGTCATCACCCTTCTTAGACTACCCTTTGGGAGAATAGAATTAAAAAAAAAAAGGGACTACAATAATAAAAAAAGAAAAATTAAATAAAACTGAGCCTACCATCTGGATGATATATTTCGATCATTGATAATTGACTTTTATAGTTATCTATTCTTAAATAAAAATATGTAACAGATTTTTGTCACAAAAAAAAAATAACTCAGGACTCACAAGAATGACGCTCAAGACTCTTAAGACAGTTATATATATATATAGAGAGAGAGTAGGTTTGTGGAATAGATAGATAGATAGAGAGAGAGAGAGAGAGAGAGAGAGAGATGAGGTAG